ACTGAAAAGTACAAACACTCGCCGCTTGTTCAAGTTGTTACTTTTTTTTTTACAGTAATGAAACAAATATATGTTGCAATTATTTTATCAAATTATATGTTATCAAGTTGAAGCAATGTTTAATACCACATATTATCTTACCTCCCATACATTTCTAGGAATATGATTGGTTAAAAGCAACCGCATGGAGACCGTGTATATTCAATATTAGGTTAGTAGGATTCCATATTGGGTTAGAATGCGGGACTTATTTCAATACACGGTTAGTAGTGGTGCTGAAGAAAAATCTTAAAGGTGACAACAGACGAAGAAATTGATGATGAACGATTGAAATAAATTCATAAAACACATTTAAAGCTAACAAGTTGTTATTGTTGGCATCTGTTTTTGTATAGACTAATGGAAGTAGGTTCTTAATACTAACGGTATTGAAGACTTGATCACTTTCATAGGCCACTAGTCTAAATACCACATGTTAAGATAGTCGGTAAGATAAATTCGTTACATAGTGTGCTAGTGACCTAATACGATATATATGGGGTCAGTAAATTCCATATGGGGATTCGAGCTTAGCTCTCACTCCATATGGAATTAACTGACCCCATATATATCGTATAAGGTCACTAGCACACTATGTAACTAATAATATCTTCAACGTGTATATAAGTTTTGGTTTTTCAAATATTTTGGTTTCGAGCATCACTGAAGAGACTGGTGCAGTATATTTTGGTACCGTATAGTATTACTAAGTGTTCCTCTGAAAACTAGAATCTTATACTCGATGATACAGTCACTGAAAGATGATTTATTTTAATTGTTGAGGGGCCAAATAACTACATCATAAAATGAAGAACGTAAACTTGAATGTCTTGAAACAACAATACGGAAGCGTATTAGCAGAGTTGACGAGGGAAATTGTAAACATAAAATTAGCACTGCACTTCTAAAATTTAACCTCAACATTTCAAAATAAACAATTTCACATTAAACATGGCATAATTTCTGTGTTGTTTGGTCTCTTGTGGAGAGTTGTCTCATTGGCAATAATACCACATCTTCTTATTTCTATTTAGTAATTGATCAATGGTATGTGATACAGTATTCACTGAAATGTACATATTTATACAGCTACATAAATAATATACAAAATTAGTCAGAAAAAAATATATAATTGTCTGAAATATTTAGGGAAAATGGCCGTAAAATTACAACGGTCCATTAAGCTGGGGTCATGCAAGTACATTTCAAGAAATACAATACATTTGTGTATTACTATACTATAAAACTAAGGTTCATCCCCCCTCAGACAAAGTTGACATTAGAGGAATTTGGCTATTCTTTTTATGTCCCTTTTTGGTCATATAACTCCTAACGTTTCAAGGTAATTATACATACCTGGCATTCAGATGTGTTGTTTTGAGCGTTCCTAATGAAGGTAAACGAAGAAAAATGTTTCGAATGCACTCAATTTATAATGCATCATTTTCATTGCCACTTGTGTTTCGATTTTCTTGAGAATATTGACGTCATATAAAACAATTAAAAATTACTTACACCAAACGAATATATATTCATGTTTTTTCATGAAATCACCTTAGTTGTTCGTTGGTATTTTCAATGTTGAAAGGATATATCGCTGTTCAAGTGGCTTTCATAAATCAGGTACCACAACAATATAAGCAATCAACAATGTAAAATAAACTACTTAATACTTTCAAACAGTTACTCTAGAATTCGTTGAAAACTTTTTTTATACCATAGAATTCTATACTCTATATATACACTGTATTTAAAAGAGTGTATATGTTACTAATTATAATATTTGATTAATTTTTACTGAGCTTTTTCTCTGGAAATTCAATAACTAATAGCAAGGATACTCGGACTAACGCTATAATCCGAGTTAAAACAGCAGATATGTAATAAAAGTTATTTACTTTAAAAAAAAAAAGTATTTTGTATTTTACATATTTTTCAGTATATGATGGTCCCTTTTCACTATTGGGAAATATCAATTCAAAGTGATGTTTCAGTATTGAAATTAAACATGTAGATGGTATCACAATATGATTCTGTCTGATGAACGGCCTATAAAATATAAATATTTAACAATCCTTATTTATACCAACATGTAAAATTTTAGATAACTTTTTCACCCTGTTTAATTAAAGAGAGTAACTCGTGTAATTCATATGAAAAGGAGTAGAGCCAATAATTGTTTCACTCATTGAGCTTTAAATTTAAGTAAAGAATGTAAGCCCTTTTGAAAATGAACCAGGTGTGAAATAAGCACTACTCCTTTCCATATTTTACGGCGACTTACTCAAATAAATAGTGGAAATCTGAATGCAATTATTTTCTGCTTGATCAAGAAGCTTAACTCTAATATAAAAATAAGAAGATGAGCGAGAAAACACTCCACCAGAGACCAAATGACATAGAAGTTAACTATGTGTTAAATCATAATTTTATAAAAATTCAAGAAAGAATTGTTGGTCGCATTTCAACTACCCTGCTTTTAATTGTGCAAAATTTGACTTACCTTGATTCATTTTGTTTGTAAGACGGAAACGGTGGTGTTTAGTGTACGATTGGTTCGTATATTCGAGCAGTTTGATCCAGATGAGAATATATTTGACAAGTGAGCGAATTTGGTTCAATATTCATGTTATAACATTGACGTCTGAACTTTCATTAACAGTTATATAGAAATATATATGTCACACATTGATCACAACCTTCACTACGTTTTCCTTTACAGATATAGGGAATTATTGTGGAAGTATGACTCTACATGCAGGAATTTCGTACAAAGTGGTATTTCATGCCCAGCTTTTTATGGTCATATTATTTATAAAGCAAGCAACTGTTGTGTTTGTACTTACCAGTTATATAACCGGGTATGATTGGCATTTAGACAGCTGTTGTGTTTGTATTTGCCAGTTATATAACCGGATATGATTGGCATTTAGACAACTGTTGTGTTTGTATTTGCCAGTTATATAACCGGATATGATTGGCATTTAGACAGCTGTTGTGTTTGCACTGACCAGTTATATAACCGGATAGTATTGGCATTTAGAAAACTGTTGTCTTTCTACTTGCCAGTTATATAACCGGGTAGGATTGGCATTTAGGCAAATGTTGTGTTTGTATTTGTCAGTTATATAACCGGATATGATTGGCATTTAGACAACTGTTGTGTTTGTACTTACCAGTTATATAACCGGATATGATTGGCATTTAGACAGCTGTTGTGTTTGTATTTGCCAGTTATATAACCGGATATGATTGGCATTTAGACAACTGTTGTGTTTGTATTTGCCAGTTATATAACCGGATATGATTGGCATTTGGACAGCTGTTGTGTTTGCACTGACCAGTTATATAACCGGATAGTATTGGCATTTAGAAAACTGTTGTCTTTCTACTTGCCAGTTATATAACCGGGTAGGATTGGCATTTAGGCAAATGTTGTGTTTGTATTTGTCAGTTATATAACCGGATATGATTGGCATTTAGACAACTGTTGTGTTTGTACTTACCAGTTATATAACCGGATATGATTGGCATTTAGACAGCTGTTGTGTTTGTATTTGCCAGTTATATAACCGGATATGATTGGCATTTAGACAACTGTTGTGTTTGTATTTGCCAGTTATATAACCGGATATGATTGGCATTTGGACAGCTGTTGTGTTTGCACTGACCAGTTATATAACCGGATAGTATTGGCATTTAGAAAACTGTTGTCTTTCTACTTGCCAGTTATATAACCGGGTAGGATTGGCATTTAGGCAAATGTTGTGTTTGTATTTGTCAGTTATATATCCAGATATGATTGGCATCTAGACAACTGTTGTGTGGCTTATTTTATATTGTTACACTGGTATCAAAGAAAGTTTATTTTTTATCTGAATATGTTTACTGTACGTTGTTTATGTAAAGCTGTTATTCCAGCAATCGAGATAAAAGGGGCATAGAGATCTGAAAAAAAATTAGTTACGTTGATGTGTCTGTCAGGAACCTCACCATGCAGTGGTTGTCAGGTTATATCTTAATTTTTTGTTCTCTACATAATTTGGTGTGAATGGGAGATTTTTAAAAGTCTCTGTTAAATATAACACAACTTATCCAAACTAGGGGCTTTAGAGTTAAGAGTTGGCTATTGTACAGAAGACAGTATGTTGAACTTTAGATTTGTTTTGTCGTTACTTGCTTAAGCTGCCACAGAGTATACTATACATCTAGAGGGTACACTATATAATCTTGAAAGAACAAAATAGCCTACTGTAGGAACAAGAAAACTTTCTTGTAACATAAAGATTTTATGTTGTTCAAATAAGATATACTAAGATGTGGTGTCAAAAAATAACAATTTCTTGCATGGCCTCATTCTGCCACCGTACAAACATTTAAAAAATATTAGACTTATATTGTATATTTTTTAGATTGATAAATTGTTGTACTGTTTTCATCATTTCTCCTTATTTTGCTAATTCTTACATCTCTCGTTGCTTAAGATATGATCTTTCCCCTGCAACTTTATCAAATGTTTAACAAAACAATCGGTGCTTAATGACATTCTGACCGCCACATCGGAGATAACTATATGCACAATCTCCATTATACACAATTGATTTTATATAGATTCTTTTTTTCACTAATTCAAATATTGGTAATATTGGCTATCGTGAATTTCGCTGCCTATCCAATTTGAAGGTAGAGTTCTGCATTAATTTTACTGTTGTGTTATCATTCGTAATCCCTGTGAGAAATTTTGCAGATGTTACCATTATATATGAATTTCTTCCTTTTTTTTTTGTATTGCACATTATGTGCAGATCAACCAATAAATATGATCATAGACAACAAGGCCTAAATGTAAACAAAGCATGAAAAACTGGCTCTGGTTGATCTCTCATCAAAACCATACATAAAATGTCAATAGATATGAACAATATTTGTATTTGATTTAAAATGATTAAATGTAATAAATTCTGTCCCTTCATACAACAGTGTATAAAATTACTAAACCAAAAAGACAACACATACACCAAATAAAAAATGATGACACCAGCTCAGTCATAACCTTATGAACTTATGCACATGAATAGTAAATAATATTGAATATAGTAAAAAAAACATTGAGCAATGTAAGTATTATAATATCCTATTCATTGCACTACAACCGCATAGTTATAGTTATGATCATATGATTCTTCAAAATTTAAAAAAAAAGTTGAATATGTTACATATACTATGGCTAGGTTTTACTATAAAACACGTGTACATGGACTTTCTTTTAAAAGAAAATCCTTAATCTGATCAAAATATTCAGAAATGTACTGCTGTTGAAATATTGTCTTCCCGTACTATAATTCGTCGATAGCTTTTCCGTATGCAATGGCCTTAACCAAGAGACCTCTTGAACAATACTTCTGCAATCGAACATCGCAAGTGCGAGGGGGTAAACCGTGGCGAAAAAGAAAGAAAATGTAAACAAACGTGGAAATTAGATAGTGTTAATTGATTCTGAAAGAAAAATTGTGATACACCAAAATCATTTAACAACTGTTATGACAACGTTTGATTAACAAAAAGAAACGCATCGAAAAAAAATGAACATCGCTCTTTAACATTTCTATCATCTCACGTATTTTTCACGTGCTCCATGATTGATTCTGTGTTATTTTTTATTAAGTTCTGTAAACGTCGGCGATACAACACGAAAGTTAATAAGCAGGGAAATTTAAATCAAATATTTTTTGTCGATTATATGTTATGGATTCGTAATAAATGTACAAAATCGTACATAGAGGACTTAGTTTTGTATATATACATGCATTGATTCAATAATTCCCGTAACATTAATTTTTCAAGAAAATCGTTTCATATGTTTTTATATAGATGCTGAAAAAGTTACAACACGCAAAACATGAATTATGTCATACATTTGAGTATAAACCATCGAAAGCCCATCTTTCACTGTAACCCATTTATCCCTAAAAGAACAATTATTTGATAACAAAATATTATTGATTATCTTAGAAATTATCAAGGTGAAAATTTAAAAAAATGAACGACTCTGATATTTCTATGAAATGATAAAATTAAGCATACATTAGTACAAAATATGTAATTAAAATATTTAAATATATATATATATGAAAGTCACATATTTTAATACAATTGGACTGGCGCAATCTATTTGCATTGATATTTTGGACGGATAAAACTAGTTTCATTTCCCTTTTTCAAACATTCTATCGTCCATATGTCCAACAATCATTGCATCTAACAAATCTGTAAAAGCAGATAAAATTTAACAATCTTACCAAATGAGTTTTCAATTTAGCATTCCTAAAAGTTGTCAGTCAATACGAAGTCATCAATATTCAATTGGACAAATATATGGTTTTGGTGGAAAGTCGTGGCTCCATCGAACAAATTCCTTCGGGTGAACAATCTGAAGAGAGGTGCAGAGTGTTGTCAGATCTTGCTCGATACCTCTAATAAATAATTTCACATTTGGACATTGGCCAAGATTTACTGCTATCATTTGAGGGCAGTTGTTCAGGGACAATCGGTGTAAATCATTACAGCCATACATATTCAAAAATTTCAAAGGGGGCGACGCAAGGGCCACGTTTGTAACTCGTCGGCATTTTTCTAGATTCAAATGAGCAATCTTTGTGCATCCCGCCAAAACCATTTGAAGCGTGTAATCCGTCATTTGACATCGATATAAAACAACGGTCTTTACCAGCGGAGTAGAGATGCATAGAAGGTTTACATTACAGTCAAAGAATCGGAGAAATCCAATTGCATTCATTGCATGAATCACACAGGATTCTAGATTCAACTGATCATCACTACAGAGATTCATTTCAATCGAATCCACACTAACGCATTGAATTGTGAGCGTTTTTAAAGCTGGCATCCCGACTAAGGCCACTCTACATAAATGATTTGCTGTAATGTACATATGATTCAAGGTCACGATATCCATTTCTGCTTCAACATAAATGAATCTTAAAGTTGGACTTCGTATATGCAGAGTCTCGCATGCAAAATCTCCAAGTAGACACAGTTCTTGCAAATTTGGTACTGTGTATTCATCGAGTGTCAGACTGTCATGAGATATACACCCTAAACGTAGACATACCAGTTTGTCGTTGTTTCTCAGAGTCTCCTTGAATGACCTCATCTCAATTTCTTCGCACTGTTTCAATTCCAGAAAAGTTAACTTCTGACTTTTGATTTTCATGGTTCGGAGAACGTGACTTCCATTGACATTAACCTTCCTCAGATTATCCGATGTAACTTCTAAGTGTTCTATAGACGCCAAACCTACATCAACGGTAAGGAATCGTAGAGACGAAATGTCTAGACTGACAAATGAAACGTTCCAAAGGTTGTGCAGGCATACCTTTACTAAGGAATCGGAGAGCAATCTAACACCGTGGAGGTACTGAAACAATTAACAAATTATTCATGTACAACAAAAGAAAAGGAAAACAAAGAACCGGCATAGATTTACCTGAATTTAATATTAACACTGTTCGTTTCTTTTTCTTTTCTGTCGTTAGATACGGATATTACGATGGAATAGGAATCTTTAAGTTCAGCTCTGTATTTTTTTGTGATTTTCATAATACTAGTATTCCGAACAATGTTTTGTGTACGTTTGTCTTTTCGTTTTGTTTTTATTTCTTTTGACATGACATTGTATGTTCCTTTTATTGATGCTTCAATGTTTCTGATTACCTCTTTTGGATACATGACTAACTGTTTGTGGCACAGTTTTTAATGGCATATCTTGGGAATGTTTCATGACGTCAAAAGCTTAAATTGATAGGAGATAAAATGTTCAAGTTGTCATAAGCTGTAAAGACATCTGTGTCAAAATAAGTGTTTATTCCTTACAATATCAGCTTTGGTGTTTGAAAATGCTAACTCTTTGCTAGAAAACCTAAAAAATGTAGCTTTTGATGTAACCCTATAAAACGTTTTTAATATAGAATTAATTACAACTTATCCATGTAAGGATAGCCTTAATAGTCGTGGGAAAATATGGATTCTTAGCCATATGTTGCAGTCTATTTGCGTCAATTGATAGTAAAACACGTACGTTGTGACATCTGTTACAAATGTCAAAATAACTTAATAAAATTTGGCAGTTTCATATATGATTTATTGATGTTTACAGGATAAAATAAAAAATAAAGAGTACATAAAACGGGTATAAGAAATGACCAAAAATATTGGACAGTAGAACAGACCACACCAACCATCGACGCCCGACTTCTCCTGGAAAAAAAACGACGTACAAACAAAGAAAAACAACAGAGAAACAAACCATGATCCAGATAACCCAACTTTGAACAGACATAAACTATGGTGATATTAAACAAGCTTTACATGAGCACAAGCATCCCCTTTGCCTATCTATATGGACAAGTAAAACAAACAGTAAAAACCAGCACAATGAAGCAACTAACAGGATGACCACTAACTTGAACAAAGAAATAAAAGACGACATTTAATTTGGAAAGGAGGGACACAATGTGCTCGTTTAACTGGAAAGGAGGGACAAAATGTGCTCGTTTAACAATACTACAGACCGTATTTTTCTTACCTCACAATTGCTGATACTAAGTTTCTTCAAGCATGGTAACTTATTCACTATTTCCCAGAGTTCATCCACTTCAATAGGTAAGAAATGAATACAGAGAACTTTAACTAAATGTACAGTGCTGTTATCAACAATGTTACGTGCAATTCCAAAACCCCTTGCAATTGCATCATCACTCCTTCTGTCGTTTATATCTAATCCAGAGTTGAGTTTAAGTTTTACCGTTTCTAGGAAAGGAAGTTTTGACAGCAATCTTTTCACTCCATTAGAAGTTATTCTCCAACAAGCATTGAGGGAAATCTCTCTCAGGTTTGGGAAGTACGCTAAAATTTGTTCAAGTTCGTCATCTGTTAATTCGTAGCCACCGTTTATTTGAACTTGCTCAAGATTAGATAGGGTAGACAATTTATGTAATACTTCAGGTGTCCATAGTATAGGCAGTCGGAGACTTCTTAAGTTACTAAGAGTTGGTATCAGTGAAAACACACTGCGAAACACTGGAGAGCTTTCCCGCCAACTGAGCCTTTGAATATGATATCCGTAGTTACGAAACATGGAACAGAGCAGACTAAAATGATAAATAGCGAAATAGTTCGGATCAACATAAATGTGTCTCCACAGAATACCATGTGTTTGCAAAACATCCCGCCATTTAGAGCAAACAAATGCCAGAATGGGTAATTCGTCCCTGATTGGATGAAGATAACGGAAAATGCGCGCCAAAATTTCGTCGGGTAATTCATTGATGTCCTTTGCATAACTTAAATCGTTATTATCGTAAAACAGTTGATGTTCACTAAATAAAGTTTTAAACATCATCTTGAGTCTGCTGCTCCATACGAAATTAACCTTATTGATCTCAATGCAATATTAACGATTCTATTCATTTAATGTTCAACATATTGGGGATTCGTATTACGTAGGATTATTGACGTCAAGCGCTGTGACACGTATCCTTATTTTAGGTCACCGTAAATCTTTATGAATGAAAAAATGTTGTTTTTTTCAATTTACGATATTTGTAATCAATAAGTGAATTACATAGTAATGACAACAGATTTTGCGCGGATCATTTCTTCCTGATCTTGTACCATATTGCCTTGTAATACACTGTTGTTATTCTTTACATATCGATCACATATTTATAGTTAATTCATCTCTAAATCATCTTTTGGAGGTACCAAATTAGGTGTGAGGGAACCTTGTTTCATAAATATTGTGATATACAAAGGTATGTACAGTTGTTAAAAAAAGTAAAATTATAAAAATACCGAACTCCAAGAAAAATTCAAAACGGAAAGTCCTTTATCGATTGGCAAAATCAAAAGCTCAAACACATCTAATAAATGGAAAACAACTGTCATATTCCTGACTTGGTACAGGCATTTCTTTATGTAGAAAATGTACCCACAAACAATCTACCCCTTCACAAGTCAATGAGTTGTCAGTGGCGTAGCTATCTAAGGCTCGACTAGGCACATGCCTATACATAAATTTGCCAGTTTTATACCCCTTTAAAATAAAAAAAGAAAGAAATTTGTGTAAGAAATATGATGTCAACTGTACAGGAAATTGCGTTCAAATTTGATTATTCGGCTAAAAGCTTGACTGCTTTCACAGAAGAACTCTCCGAAAATGAAAATGGTCAAGAACATTTAGAACGCCGAACAAAGTTAAGAATGCTGTGTGAGACTCGTTGGTCAAGCCGGGCAGATTCTCTGTTTACATTTCGAACAGCATTTGCAGTAAATTGTTGTCTCTGTCCTGAATTCCCTGAAAGTCGACAATGATGACAAATCAGAACAGAGTATAAATGCGATTCTTCGATTCGAATTTATCATAAGTCTTGTTGTTGCAGAACACATATTAAGCTCAACAGTCGCCTTGACAAATTATTTACGGAAACCCGATATTGATTTGATAGACTGAGCTTTGACAGAAGCTAAAATTGTCATTCTAAGGCTTTCGGATGAAAGAGATGATGATACAGTTTGAGAGTCTTTGTTTGCAAGAGCAACAGATATTGCAGCAGAACACGACATTCAGCTATCAGTTCCTCGTATCGCTGGACGTCAACGACACAGAGCAAACCACCCAATTCGTGACCCGTCAGACTATTGAAGAGTTTCGTTGTACTTCGTATTTCTCGACCACTTGGTTGCTGAAATTACAAAGCGATTAATCAGCAACGAGGAACGTTTTTTTGCATCTTACTTCATTCCAGCCAAGTTAGGGGACTTGACTCCTGAAATAGCGGACAAAATCTACAACATTTACCTTTCGGATTTAGGTGAAAAAAGAGAATTTGACGATGAGGTCGCTCGATGGAAATCCCGTTGGCCAGATAGACTTCTTGGTGTCCTTAATGTCAAGAACGCCGATTTTTACCCATCGGTGCATAGGATTTTTTGGATATAATTGACAATGCCCGTTTCATTCGGCAACCAGTGAAAGATCCTTCAGCGCGATGCGACGCGTAAAGTCCTGCCTGAAATCGACAATGGGAGACGAGAGACATTCTAATCTATCTCTTCTTCATATCCACCGACACCTCAATTGTGATGTTGATGCGAGTATTATCGATTTTGTTGGAAGAAAAAACCGTCGACTGGACTTTTAATAAGTGTATCATTTACTTTGTGTATGAAACTGGACCTGAAAGTTATTTATAAAAAGTTCAGAAATTTTAGATTTGTTTAAGTTTAACCAATTTTTGCCCAATGAGTTAAAACAAAATCCGTTCGAAAAAGTTAAAAATCGTTTTCCTTGATCCTCTGGGCCCGGCCTTAAGCTTATTTTCTGCATAAAATAGTCCAAAAAATGTGCCTACACTTAAATACTATTCTAGCTACGCCCCTAGTTGTATTGAACTTATAGACAATATCCTGCAACTGACATGTTTGTGCTTCTATTTCAGTGGTTTCCCATAGAAAAACTAATTTCCCTTTTTTTATATAAAGACTTAAAAGAGGGAAAACATCCCTATACGTAACTTATTGCAAACCAAGGAATGAGCTTGGAAATTATTTTTCCCGGTAAATAAAATTATGCTCATAATATTTTCTTTTTTTCAACTTTTATTTTTTATAAAAAGATTTTTTTCATGAGTAAATATTAAGTTAACGTAGCCGTTATTGTGTAACTTCAAATCTGTGGTGGAAATCCGCGTTATAACACGTGTTTTACTAGTAAATGATATGTGTTTTAACTTTGAATTTGAGTCCAGCTTACGGAAGTGCGGTCTTCATCAGATCTTTGGAAATCCTTGAGGTTTATCGTCATTCTATTGCAATCTGGAAAGCTTCCGATTTTTCAAACTCCAAAACAGTGGTGAAATACGCTGCACTGCTTTCATTTCTATATCAAGCATCCCATAAAGATTTGTTTGACTCATTATCAGATATGCACATGATATATTTTCTGAGACATCTACATACGACGTATTTGAAAAACTGACAGAAGATTGCTCGTGTGGTGTTTTATAACGACGTCTATTATCAAAGCATCCTCCTCTTGTCGCCTCCACCGGTATACTAACAGTATAATAGTCCCAGCCTCCACATTGTGACTCATTTGTCCCCATGTGCCTTGTAAGTTGTATATTTTACTTAGTCAAGGATTCTAAGGTTGGGAAGGGGGAGAAGATGTTGGCAGAAATAGAAGCAGTGTTACTGTAAGGGCTTTGATGATTGCTGCAGTTGCCGTAAAAAGGTTTCACCATGGTAAAAAAAAAGGACAAATACTAATCATCACAACAATACACAGAATACAAAATAATCAAAAATAAATACTCGGTGTTGGAATGTACACAGAAAAGATAGGCTTGGAAAATTTGGTGGGATTTTGTATTATTCAATCAAAACAAAAAACCACACTTAGACAGGATGATTTGGAAATGAAAGAAAAAGTGTCTTGTGGATAAAAGTTTTGAATATTCATCAAAAACAATTATACTTGGTTAGAAACAAACACCACCTACGACAGTCATGCCAATGATGAGTGACTAGGGTATAGAAATATGTTCACCTTGATGTTCTTCGGACCGGCAGTAAAACCCTTGCCAAAGTGGAGTGTCTGTTTGGATGTGCGGAATGAATAAATTCGCTGCCACGTCCAGTCGGAATGGTGACGTTAAATCAGAAGCTTCTCGTAGAGAGTGTCACGTTCTCTGCATGTTTAAGAACCCTTGCAATACCGAACTTTAAGATGGGTCCGTAGATGGCCTGTTGCAATGCAAAATGTCTGTCCTTATCCAATATAACCATATTTTTCAGTGGAAAACTGAATTTCCGGCACTTCATCGACTCGTATTAGTTATTTATATGTTCTCGTCCTGAACATGCATGGACATGTATGAAATAATTGCCACTAGACGCAATACAAACAATCATCCTAAAGGCTACGCTGTTTGAAAACATGTTGTTATAAATATTTTATAATTTAATATGGATACAAATTTATACAATTTCATATTTAGCAGGGCGATTCTTACACAAAAATTCAGACAGAGTTATTAGGAAGAACGACTAAAATAGATAATACATAAGTCTTACGTTCACCATAACGACTGGGTTGACCAATACGATGTATCTGTGTCTCAACTCACTAGCGACATGTTTTCGCTGTCTTAGATCTTTAGATACCAGTATAGTCGTGTGATCTGTAATTTTACTGATTGTGTCCTATTCTCGATTGTGAAATTTTGACTGTGTTTGGAATCGCATGGCTTGTGATGCATGCATTCCAGGAAACGCCTACCCTGTCGACACACTCAGTCTCGCTCCTTTTGGGGATCACTAGATTCTCTCAATTTATTGTTGATACCTTGATTTGTCTCTTCTAAATCGATTTACCAGATTTGAATATCGATAACCTACTGTCGCCTTAATTTTACATTAAATATTTACAGAAAATATCTGTTTGGCAATTTGTATTTAAATGTAAAGTCATGCAAAAATCAACTCAAAGTGGACACCCCTTAGAAATATTTTCCTTATAAAAATAAGAAAATATTTTGATTTATTTTCAATAAACCAGACATATAATACGTTTATATGTCTCTGAATGAATAACTATACCATCGTTTACTATCACGAGAATGAGCAAATATGATTTTACAGTAAGAAAAATATGTATAATGACTTTATAATTCTGGAGAAACAACGTCAAATATCTGATAGAAACTCAAAAAAAGAATTCTGTACTGATTTGATATAACATAAAATGGAAACAGTTTCATACTGACAGTGGTATTGAAAATTATTTTATTTCATATCGGTTAAGAACTAGCTTCTCTTATTGGATAACAAGGGGCCACATGACATTCTTTATTATTCAGTAATAATTTCTATCGGTCTTTAACAGAAAAAAACGGACCAGAAAACCAGAAAACGGGTCGTTAAGACTTTTACGCGTTAATGACCGGTGGGGCGTGGTTTCTCTGTTTAGAGAGATGTCCCTTTAATGAAACATTTTCCTGATTTCAATTTTATATTGAAGTTGTTGAATTTTAGAAAACTTTATTTTGTTTTCATATACTGAAAAATTGCACTTAAATGAATGGCAGTGACTTATGATTATCACTATGACTGGTCTTCACTCTTTCCTATAGAAATCGTACAATAACTCGAGTTTGTATTGAACAATTTGAATTTATGAGAATTTTTAAAAACATGGTTCCTCAATGAAATAAACATAATAGTTATTGAAGAACTGGTCATTATCGTGATACATGGACTGCCCGTAGGACAATGGTATTGACTGCGACAGCGATAATGACCTCGCCTACGGCTCAGTCATTATCGTTGGCTTAGTCAATACCACTGTCTTTTGGGCAGT